CCTGGCTTCATCCTGCCCAGGCAATGGCGTTGGTGATGTGTGTGAGGATGACTTTGACAATGATGCAGTGGTCGACCCCCTGGATGTGTGTCCTGAAAGTGCAGAGGTAACCCTCACGGATTTTCGTGCCTATCAGACCGTGGTCCTGGATCCTGAGGGTGATGCTCAGATTGACCCCAACTGGGTCGTGCTCAACCAGGTACTAGGGCAGTGAGCGGGGTGGGTGCTGTCAGACCTGACTAGTAGGCAGAGTCTAGGGAGGGCAGCACACTGGAACCAGGACTTTTGTCTTTACTGCACACCACCAGGGCATGGAAATTGTTCAGACCATGAACAGTGACCCCGGCCTGGCAGTTGGTATGTAAGGGGCACCCAATTCAGCAATTTCAATAACTTCCTAATGGAGGGGTCCTACAGGCAGAGGATGGGCCACTGCCTCCCCACTGGGCATCCCATCCCACCCCCACCCCACAATGGGTGTTAGCTTTGCTACCCCTGCCCCTGATCCCATCTCCCCTCCCACCCACCCCTAGGATATACAGCCTTCAACGGTGTGGACTTTGAAGGCACCTTCCATGTGAACACTGTGACCGACGACGACTACGCAGGCTTTCTCTTCAGTTATCAGGACAGCGGCCGCTTCTACGTGGTCATGTGGAAGCAAACAGAGCAGACCTACTGGCAGGCCACGCCTTTCCGGGCTGTTGCCCAGCCAGGGCTGCAGCTCAAGGTCCCACAGCTGCCCAGATTCCCTAGTCCAGGGCCCTTTCCCAAGGCCTCCCCCACCAATCCTGGGGCCTCCCCCACTGCCTGAGCAGAGGGAAGCCTCTTACCCAGACATCTGGCCTGGAGGTGGGCTCCCTGGGGCTCCAGAATATTCTCCTGACTCCCTTTTCCACCTGCACTTACCAGCCTGTTGTCTTCCCTTACTCCGGTACTGTGGTTGACCCACTGTCTTTGCTGATGCCCCGTAGGCAGTGACATCAGTGTCTGGCCCAGGTGAGCACCTCAGGAACGCCTTGTGGCATACAGGCAATACTCCTGATCAGGTACGACTGCTGTGGACTGATCCACGAAATGTGGGCTGGCGTGACAAGACCTCCTACCGCTGGCAGCTGCTGCACCGGCCTCAAGTTGGCTATATTCGGTGAGGGGAGGGGCCGAGCCCTCCCAAGAGACCCCAGGCCCAGCCTTTCCTTCCTTTCCAGCTGGGATTCACCAGTGACTGCCTCTGCACTCACTGCTGTGGTGCCATGGGCCTGGACTGGAACCACCTCTCTCTACCTCTCCTCTCACTACAGACTAGCTGCCCTGGCCCCGCTTGTTTCTTAACATCAGGCAGCCTGGGCTCTGGTGCTGCTAAGGACCCATAAACAATGTTAGGCAAGCCCTCCTTTTGCCGTGCTGTAAAATGAAGGTGTATCTGGGAGCCTCCAAAGGCCAGGCCAGTCTGTGGAGAGGCACATCAATCCACCTCATCACTAGTCCAGCCCAGAACCTGCCTCATCAGAGTCTGACAGGAAGGGATCATCATTTACAGAAGAGCCAACGGAAGCCCAGACTCCGCACTGCACCTCTTAGTAGCCAGGCTGAGGCCTCAGTTCAGCTCTCGGTCCACAACTTTGCATTTCCTAGTTGGTGGGGATGACAGGGAAGGGAGGGGAAATGGCCCAGAGCCCGGAGTGCAGGGACTTGGGTTGGTTCCCCTTTAAGGTGCCTGGGGCTGTGGGGCGCCAGGGCAGGGGATGGTGGGGGTGGACTAGAGCCTGGGAAGCGGGTGACTTCACCCCCCAGCCCATTGTACTCATCGTCATGGCAACCCAATCCTCGCTCGGAATGCGGCTGGTGCTTTGAGATGCAAAGGGGGCTGGACAAAGAGCCAGGGGCCCCAGGCCTGAGAAAAGCACCCCTCCTTCCCCCCTTTCCTTCCTCCCTTTTCCCCACCTCCCTTCTCTCTCAGGCCCGGTGAGCCCTAGGGGGGTTGGGGATGAACAGGGCTGGGTAATGGTGGCTCAGTGCCCACTAGCACCTAGCACCAATGGACACTCCTATCCCGGACAGGGTGAAGCTATACGAGGGTCCCCAGCTAGTGGCTGATTCTGGGGTGATCATTGACACATCCATGCGAGGGGGGCGTCTTGGTGTATTCTGCTTCTCCCAAGAAAACATCATTTGGTCCAATCTCCAGTATCGATGCAATGGTGAGGCTCTAGAGGGAGATCAGCCTGACCTCTCGTGCCCTCACGGGAGTCACATCTTCTGACCTTAATCATATCTCCTTTCTCAGACACAGTACCCGAGGACTTTGAGCCATTCCGGAGGCAGCTGCTTCAGGGAAGAGTGTGAAGAGGTGGCCACTGGATTAAGAATCCTGATTTTAGACCCTCGGGCCTTGGGGTCCATCCTGGAGTCTAATTTACAGCCCCTCAGCTAAACACCGACCCTCCTCTGGCACCCACCACGAGTTCAGCCCCAGAGGGGTGGTGACCCCACTGTTCAGGAGATGGGAAGTTTTCAAGGGGGTATTTCTCAGGCACTAACCCCAGGAAAGATAACAGCGCATTGCCATAAAGTTTCAGTTCTTTTCTAAGCCAGTGCAGTTACTTATTTTAGGGATTTTCCGGGGCAGGGAGAGGACTAGTAGAATGTAAGTTAGAGGTCTAGAGGGAGTTTGGTGAGAAAGGTGTGGACAGGGACTAGATGGGGGACGGGGGTTAGGTGAAGGATGGGGTGCTGGTCGGAGGATGGCTGAAGTTCTCCCAGCCCCACTTACTCACGGTGGCAGCGGCGACACTCCAGTCTAAGAGCAGCCGGGATCGACAGCCAGGAGGGCTGGGGCTGCCCCGTTCGGGGTGAGGGGGAGGCCGGGGGGCCGAGGGGGCCGGAGGCCGGGACGAGTGCAATATTGGCGGGGGAAAGAACAACACTGCACCGCGTCCCGTCCCTCCCGCCCGCCCGGGGCCCGGAATCCCGCTCTCCACCGCTGGAAGCCGGACCAGCCCGAGAACCCAGGACGCGTTGGGGAGTTGGGTTCACCTTGGAGGCCAGAGAGACTTGGCGCCGGAAGAGGGTGAAGGGGGTGGTAAGGGGAGGGAAAAAGGGAGAAGGAGACCGCGATATCCCGGAAGGCCGCTTTCCGACGCCCAGGCGTTGCGCGCGCTTGCTCTTTAAATACTCCGACTGCTAGGCGCGGAGCCGTCGCCATGGTGACGCGTGTCCCAGCAACCGAACTGAATGGCTATTGCCTGGCAACGCCCGGGGTTGAAGTTTTGGGGCCGCCCACCTAGCTACTCGCGCTTTCTTTAGCCTGAGGGGGCGGGGGCTTCCCCGCCTCTTCGGCCAGCTCCCCGGCGCGATGACGTAACGCCCCCAGCCCCGAGCCCGTCCCCGGGTCCCGCGGCTGCACAAAGCCGCGCCAAGTCGGCGGAGCAGCGCGGGCCTGCGAGCTGCGGTCCTGCTCTCTGGCTTCCCTCCAATCCCGCCGCACCGAAGTGTTCTTAAAGTTCATTTCGCAATCCGTGTTCTTTGGGGCTAACAATTGTTTCCTAATGCGGACGTAATTGCTTCTGTCGGTCTAGACTGCAATCCGGGACCTCCGGAGGGGGCCCGATAAGCTCCACGTGCGCCGCTGTGGACCCAAACACTCCTCGGTGCCACATGTTTCTGCCCTTCAGAATATAACTTGGTCTTCCCAAATCACGCACCCTCATATACTGTTTTGCACCACCCCGACCACGTTGTGCGTACCTGTCCCAAACGCCACTCTGCTCTCCAAAGGATAGTTTCGTGCCCCTCAATACCATCTGTCGCCCCACCTATTCTCTGCTTCCTAAATGAGTAACTAATCTGCCCCATTCTGCCTCCCACATTCCGATGTCCTCGCCCAGATACCTGGGTGCCCCTTCCACATAACTCAGGACCCCACCCACTTAGCGCCATTTCCTCCAGACGGCGCCGCGACAGGTCTGAGTCCTCTCCTAAAACCCCCAACCCCTCCATCGATGACACAGTGTGTTCCTCCCCTTCTCTGTCCAAGCCACTGCCTCTCCTGGCCAGGGCCTGCTCGCCCCAGTCTCTCTCTGCCCCCACTTAGGCAGTGCCACCCAGCCTCCGCTCCCCAGACCCGGGGAGCCCCTCAGCCCTCTCGGGCAGGCCGGGTGAAGCTCTCGGTGACCGCTAGAGGGCGGGAGAGCCCGGCCAGAGAGCCGCCGCTACCTGGTGGATTCGGGGAAAGGAAAGACCCTAGGGTTTGGTGGGATTTCGTATTTCTCTAAGTGGAAATTTCTTCCCCCGCCCCCTTCTCGAGAGAAAGTCAAGGAAGGAACTTGGGCTGCTGGAAAGTCCTGCGGGGGCGGGGACTGTGGGTTTCGGGGTAGAACCGTGTGTGGAACTGGACAGGGAGAGGTCAGAAGGGTGGGGCTATTCCGGGAAGTAGTGAGGGGAAGGGGTCCAAAACTAGCACCGAGTTTACTCATTGGCGAGCCTTCCCCTCCTTTCTCAGCTCCCAGAGTGGGACTCCAAGCGACCCAGTGAGAATGGAACAATGGTGTGGAGGACCCACAATGCCGGCCTTGGGCTACGACTTTGACTTAGTCCAATTTCTCTGTTACTTTCCTCACCAAGGCTGTTGTCCTGGGGGCTCAAATAGGACCAGGGGGACCCAGGTCAGGTTCCAGACTTCCTCCACCACCTTCTGGAGCCAGGGAGTGGTTGGTGAAAGAGGGGAGCCCAGTCAGAAAACAAACAGGTTGTCAGAGAGTTGAGTGATTGAAGCCCACATACCTTATTTAAGGGGCCAGAAATGGTTGGGGAGGAGGAGGAAGAGGTTGGAGGTAGGGAAAGGGGGAGGGGGTGGAGCCTTGTCACCTGTCACCTGCTCTGGCTGAGCCTAGGGCGGGCGGGGGACCGGTATAAAGCAGCTGGTGCCTGTGTCCGTTCCACCTCGTGGGCAGCTCCGGCCTGAGTTTGTTCTGTCCCCTCCCCACCACTTCGGCACCACCATGACACCGGACATCCAGGCCCCTTTCCTCTTCCTGCTGCTGTTGTTCCCAGTGCTTACAGGTGAGGGGCGCACGGTGGGGAGGGGGCTGCCCTGCTCCTGTGGTCTTCCCAACTTTCTGTGGGTTTTGCTTCCTGGGAGATGGCATCCAAGAGGCAGAAGTTGCAGACAGGGGTGGCCTAGTCTTTGCCAGAAGAAAGAATAAAGGAGTGAGGCTAAGGAAAACCTGAGAAGAGACCCCCCCACACACACCTGGAGGAGAGTGGGTGCCAGGAGCAGGCGTATGTCCTGAAGAGAAGTCTGGAGGGGTTGGGGGTGGAATCAGGAGAGGAAAATCTTAGGAGTGGAAAAGCCCACAGTCCAGGAGCAGACAGATATGGGATGAGAGAGGGAGGCTGCCAGCAGGGAAGGAGAAAGCTGACTCAGGGGCCCACTCCCCAAATCCTCCTGGCATTACTTCCCCAGATGCCAGAGAATGTATTTTCTCCTTATGCTGATTTGTCCCCCAACCATACTCTGTAACCTTGATTTCTTACAGCTGCCAATGGCACTCCCGTAACAACCTCTGACCCCAGCAGAACTATACAGGCTTCCAGTACACAAGGCAGCCCAACGTCCAGTCCCACTAAAGAAACTTCTTTTTTTTAATTTTATTTTATTTATTTTTTTTTTTTAAAGAAACTTCTTGGAGCACAACCACCACCTTACTCACAGCCAGCAGCCCCAACCCCAGCCCGACTGCCTCTCCCGGCCACGATGATGCCTCATCTCTGATCAGCAGCCGTGCCCCAATTCCAACCGCCTCTCCAGGCCATGACAGTGTCCCATCTCTGACCAGCAGCCCTGCCCCAAGCCCGGCCGCCTCTCCCGGCCACGACGGAGCCTCGACTCCAACCGGCAGCCCTGCCCCAAGCCTGGCTGCCTCTCCCGACCACGACAGCGCCTCGATTCCGACCGGCAGCCCTGCCTCAAGCCTGGCTGCCTCTCCCGACCACGACAGCGCCTCGACTCCGACCGGCAGCCCTGCCCCAAGCCCGGCCACCTCTCCAGGCCACAGCGGCACCTTGACTACGACCAGCAGCCCTGCCCCAACCCCAGCTGCCTCTCCAGGCCATGATAGTTTCCCATCCCTGACCAGCAGCCCTGCCCCAAGCCCGGCCGCCTCTCCCGGCCACGACGGCGCCTCGACTCCGACCGGCAGCCCTGCCCCAAGCCCGGCCGCCTCTCCCGGCCACGACGGAGCCTCGACTCCGACCGGCAGCCCTGCCCCAAGCCTGGCTGCCTCTCCCGACCACGACAGCGCCTCGATTCCGACCGGCAGCCCTGCCCCAAGCCTGGCTGCCTCTCCCGACCACGACAGCGCCTCGATTCCGACCGGCAGCCCTGCCCCAAGCCTGGCTGCCTCTCCCGACCACGACAGCGCCTCGACTCCGACCGGCAGCCCTGCCCCAAGCCCGGCCGCCTCTCCAGGCCACAGCGGCACCTTGACTACGACCAGCAGCCCTGCCCCAACCCCAGCTGCCTCTCCAGGCCATGATAGTTTCCCATCCCTGACCAGCAGCCCTGCCTCAAGCGCTACTGCCTCTCCAGGCCACGATGGCACCTTGTCTCCAGCCAGCAGCCCTGCCCCAAGCCCGGCCGCCTCTCCAGGCCACGACGGCGCCTCGACTCTGACCGGCAGCCCTGCCCCAAGCCCGGCCGCCTCTCCAGGCCACAGTGGCACCTTGACTACGACCAGCAGCCCTGCCCCAACCCCAGCTGCCTCTCCAGGCCATGATAGTTTCCCATCCCTGACCAGCAGCCCTGCCTCAAGCGCTACTGCCTCTCCAGGCCACGATGGCACCTTGTCTCCAGCCAGCAGCCCTGCCCCAAGCCCGGCCGCCTCTCCAGGCCACGACGGCGCCTCGACTCCGACCGGCAGCCCTGCCCCAAGCCCGGCCGCCTCTCCCGGCCACGACGGCGCCTCGACTCCGACCGGCAGCCCTGCCCCAAGCCCGGCCGCCTCTCCCGGCCACGACGGCGCCTCGACTCCGACCGGCAGCCCTGCCCCAAGCCCGGCCGCCTCTCCAGGCCACAGCGGCACCTTGACTATGACCAGCAGCCCTGCCCCAACCCCAGCTGCCTCTCCAGGCCATGATAGTTTCCCATCCCTGACCAGCAGCCCTGCCTCAAGCGCTACTGCCTCTCCAGGCCACGATGGCACCTTGTCTCCAGCCAGCAGCCCTGCCCCAAGCCTGGCTGCCTCTCCCAGCCATGACGGAGCCTCGACTCCGACCGGCAGCCCTGCCCCAAGCCCTACTGCCTCTGCAGGTCACCACGGCCCCTCGTCCCCAACCAGCAGTGACACCTCATCTGTGACCACCAGCTCTACCTTGAGCTCCATGGTCACTTCAGCACACAAGGGCACCTCATCCAGGGCTACCATGACCCCAGTCAGCAAGGGCACTCCATCCTCAGTTCCCAGCTCTGAAACTGCTGCCTCTGCTGCCAGCCACATTACCAGGACAGCTGCCAGCAGCACTAGCCCCCAACAGTTGCCTGTTAGGGTCTTCCTGTTCTCCCTCTCTTTTCACATTACAAACCTCCAGTTTAACTCTTCCTTGGAAGATCCCCAAACCGGCTACTATCAGGAGCTGCAGAGACGCATTTTGGACTTGGTGAGTAGCTGCCTTTCCTCTAACACGCACCCCCCACCCCCAAAGCAGCCTTCAGAACTCTTTGAGTCACTTGCATCAAATCTTAGTCCTTTTTCTCTCACCCCAGTTTTCGCAGATTTATAAACAGAGGGAGAGGGATTTTCTGGGCCTCTCAGAGATCAAGTTCAGGTACAGTTCTGGCTGTGGACTCTGTGGGACTGGTGGATGTTGTCATGACTGTGAGGAGGATGTACTGACCCAGAAACTGGGACTCATGGCTGAGTTCCCCATTTCTTTGTAACCAGGCCAGGATCTGTGGTGGCAGAATTAACTCTGGCCTTCCGAAAGAATACCACTGCCGGATGGGTGAAGGCACAGCTCAGTCAGCTTGAAGCACGGGCAGTCAAATATAACCTGACCATCACTGAAGTTAGTGGTGAGTCCACTTCCCCAGCTGCGAGCCAGCACCGCCCTGCCCGGGACCCTCTCTCTCCAGCATCTGGGTCCCTGCTTTCTCTCTTGGAGCTGGTAGGGGGAGAGTCACCTCCTTTGGGAGACCGCTCTGACCACTGCTTTTCCTTTCAGTGCGTGATGCCCTGTCTCCTTCCTCTGCCCAGCCTGGGTCTGGGGTGCCCGCTTGGGGCATCGCCCTGCTGGTGCTGGTCTGTGTTCTGGTGGCGCTGGCCATCATCTATCTCATTGCCCTGGTAAGTGCTCAATCCCCAGCCCTGACCAGAGTCCCCTTGCTGGAAGGAACCTCACGTCCCCCATAACCTCCTGTCTCCCCAGGTTGTGTGTCAGTGCGGACGAAAGAAATGTGAGCAGCTGGACATCTTTCCAACCCTGGATGCCTACCATCCTATGAGCGAGTACTCCACCTACCACACCCATGGGCGCTATGTGCCCCCTGGCAGTACCAAACGGAGCCCCTATGAGGAGGTGAGGGAGGGGGGTGTCGTGCGGTGAGGCTTTGGGCAGTGGTTGTGAAAGGGTACTGGGAAAACCTAAAGAACTTAGAAGAGGTGATGTGAAATAAGCAGTGAGGGACTGACAAGGCTGGGGTGGAGGTCAGAGGGGTTCTGGGGGAAAGGCTTAGGGAAGAAGGGGGGCCTCAGGAGGGTGTGCCCCCAACAACCAGCACCCCCAGAAGAGCATTCACTGCTCAGCTGAACTGGGATGCCCAGAGGTGACATGAATAGGGCACTGCACCCAGGGGAGCCCTTCATGGAAGGAGCACCTTGCCCCAGCTTTTCTCCTAAGAATGGAGGGTAGATTGGGAAAGGCTGATGGGGAGGAGGGGGGGGTGTCTCTGAATTGGGAAAGAAGTCTCACCAAGCCAGGTGAGCCTGGGTGCAAGGTGGGGAGGCACAGACCCCCTCTTCCTTCTTTCTGCCTTTCCCTCCATGACCTAGTAAATAATTACTTTGCCATCTGGGGCTGAAAGGCCACTCCAAGTGAGGGAAGGGAGAGTTTCCTTTTCCTGACTTTTCCTCTGCCTGGGGACTTCTTTCTTCCAGTTTTGCAGAAATGCGTACACCTCCTTGGGCTGAAGGAGCAGAGAATGGAGGGAGAAAGGGGCAGGAGGGGAAAGCAGGGGTGCTGAGAGCCAAGGGGAGGGAGTGAACCGGAGCAGGAGGAGGAGGGGGAGCGGCTCTGTTTACAGTCATCTGGCTGTTGGTGGTGACCAGCAGGTGCTCTCTCCAGATTAACCCTTTGAAAGCTAGTCAGGCTCCTGGACCATTCACCCCATCCTACGGTGCCATCCAGGGACCCTGGGGAGGAAGGTTGTCCCAGGAAAGCCTCTGTGGCTCATCCCAGTCTCTTCTGCCCCTACCTAGGTTTCTGCAGGCAACGGTGGGAACCTCTCTTATACAAACCTGGCAGTCACTTCTGCCAACTTGTAGGGACATGTTGTCTGCTGAGAGTCCAGCCAGTACTGGCTACCTCCCTGGAATTCTTCACTTCTGAGGACCCCCACCCCCAACTCTGTTCTGGGCTAGTGAGCTGGGCATTCAGGTGGGCTGCTCACAGCTTCCCTCACAGGACCCACCAAGTCCCCTAACCCATCTTAGCCCTGGTGAAGCCCGCCTGAGCCCCTGGGGACATGCAGAGGCAGCGGCTCCCAGGAGGATTGCCTGGAATGCTTGGAGATGGGAGTGGGAACGTGAACATGGCTGAATAAAATGCGGGCCCACTACCAGCTTCTTATCTGTTGTCTGTGACCTGTGGATGGGTGAGGGGCAGTCAAAATGTGTGTGTGTCTTGGGGGGAGTTCTGGCAGAGACCTCTGGAAGAGGAGGGGAAGGGAAGAAGGGCAGAGGAGTGGGGTTCATTTGAGAAGCAGGAGGCTGGAGAGATGACATTGGAGTGCAGGTGGACAGACTCCTGTCACCTCTCCTGCATGGCTGGCAGCACATGAGGAAGGAGGAAACAAAAGCCCGAGGCTCCAGCAGCCAGCATGACCCAGCTCTGCCCGCCCGAGAGCCGGACTCGCCCCTATCCCCGGGCCTGGATTTCACTCCCGCGCCCTGCTCTCCCCTTGGCATGGTGCCCTCAGGAGGCTCTATTCTTAGCTGTCCGGGTGTGAAGTAAGTCCTAAGGCAGCAGAGTCAACAAGGCCATGATAAGGTCCGTGTCAGATCCAGGGCCTGGCGCCAGACTGCCCCACCTGCCTACTGGCTCTGGGGTCTACCACCTAGTAGACTAGGAATGGGGAAATAGTTCTGGTTCTGAAGTCAAAGACTTCCCAGATGGCTCAGTGGTTAAGAACCAGCCTGCCAATGTAGGAGATACGACTCAGGTTCAATCCCTGGGTTGGAAAAATCCCCTGGAGAAGGAAATGGCAACCTACTCCAGTATTCTTGCCTTCCATGGATGGAGGAGGAGCCTGGCGGGCTACAGTCCTTGGGGACACAGAGAGTCAAACATGACTGAGCATGCACAAACTTCCTGACTGATGCACTGATGCCAAAAGCGCAGCTTCTCTGTACACCGGGACTGAATCGAATCTCTGAGACAGAGTTTTAGGTGAAGTAGAAAAGAATAGCTTTATTGTGTTGCCAGGTGAAGGCGGCCACAGTGGGTTAATGCCCTCAAAACCATATGTCCCAAGTTGGAGAAGATATACAGTAATTGCTCAAAGAGCATGTGATCAGCTCATGGACATTTTTCTGATGGGTTGGTGGTGAGGTAGCTGGAATTCAGCATCATCAGCCTTCAGGACCAGCTGCTCTGGGGTCTACATACCATCTTTAACTTTTCCCACGTGCAGGGGATATAAGTTTCTACAAAACAGCTCAAAGATATTGCGAATATCCATTGATGGGGAAACAGGGTGTTGTTCAAGGCTGTTCTTGACTGTTTGTTTCTCTCTGGTCTCCCATTCCCTCCTTTCTCTAACTAACAACTGCTTGAATCTGCCCCTTGGAACTCAGGGAAGGTCATGGAGGCTGAATGAAGGCTGTTTCCTATAATTCAAGAAATGGGGGAACACAGAAAGGCCTTGTGCCATAAGCCCCTGATTTCTTTGGGTCCAGGCAAGGGGACGGCACCCTAAGTCGCATTCCTGCAGGGCTCCACCCAGACGCCCCATGGGGGGGTGGTGGTGGTGGGAGGGTGGGCATCCGATGCAAGCAGCCACCAGAGCGATGTGCCCCCTGGCGGCCACGGTCGGTTTGGACCTGGGCTGGGCACAGGTGTGGCAGAAAACTGGGGAGCACAGGGCTTGAGGACCTCCTTCTCTCAGGCACCAGCTCCACCGTGCACCCCTGCTCTGAGAAATAGCAGGGAACCCTCCATTCCCTTGGCCTGCCACATCCAGCACAGAAGCTAAGAGGAATGGGCTCCGGGAAGGCAGACATCACAGGAAGGCCTGGCATCACAGTTTATTGTTTATAAACCATGAAAATAACAGCTGTTGCTTGGCACAGGCCTAGCAGTGCTCACTGTAGGGGGGCAGCAGCAGGCACCAGAGGCCTTGCCAGGCGCAACCCAGTGGGGACACTCAACCTCAGCTGGGACCCCAAGGGAGACTTGGCACGTTGGCATGGGTGCGGGACAGGTTAAAGCATGCAAGGGGGCAAAGAGGGGGATAAAAGGCATGCGGCTGGGGGTACAGGGACCCAAATAAATAAAGCAGGATGAGAGGGTCCCTCTCCCTCACCAAAGAGTGAGGGCACTGTCCAGCCAAAAAGCCGCTCCGCCCCAAGGCTGCAGTTCAGCACGGATGGGGCAAGGAGCTTGGCAGGGCGGAGGGCAGAGCTGGCGAGCAAGCCCAGTGTTCCGGGTGCCTTCCCTCCCAACCAGCCTGGGGAGGAGCACAGGGCAGGGGTGGGGCAGGGGCTCCCTCCATGATTCGGGCAAGATGCCAAGGGCAGCGCATGGGGCAGAGACGTGGTGCGGGCGGGAACCTGGATTAACAGGCAATAGGGAGAATGGGGGACATCCAGAGAGGTGAGCAGAGGAGAGTCCCTTGGTCAAGAAAGGCCATGGGAAGACACAGATATGGGAGGGACAGGACCACGTGGGAGGAAGAGCTGGAGGGAGAAGCTACCAGAGAGAGAACCCGGCTTCAGGAGGCGTGGAGGGCCAGGGGCCCCGCAGAGGCCCGGGAGGGTCAGTCCAGCTTGGCGAAGCCCCCAATGGTGACCTTCCTCTCGGGCTTGGTGCCCACGGGCTCCTGTAGCTGTACTGCGCCACCCCCGATGAAGCAAAAGGCAGGGCACACAGGGCCCGAGCAGTCCAGGGGGCACTCCAAGAGCCCTCGGAAGGACACGGCATCCAGGAAGGAAACACGCCCCCTCTCGTAGTCCAGGCAGATGCCCAGGCGGGGCGGCAGGGGCACCGTGCAGCTGGCCGCCGGGCCGTCCCTCCCGGTCAGCCCCGCGTTCGAGCTGGCCCCGGCCCCCAGCAGGATCTTGCCCATGCCGATGGTCAGGAATGCGAAGGGTGGCGATGCCTCCACAGTGGCATCCTCGGCACCGCTGTCGTGTCCACTGTCCGGGTCGTACCTGCAGGAATGGGTGTTGGGTAGATGGTACCCAAGGGCTGAGATGTTGGGAGGATGGAATGTCGGGAGCAAGCAGTTCCAAGGACTGATTTGGGGGCATTGAGAAGAGAGCACATTGAAGAGACAGGGGTTATAATATAGGGCTGGGGGTTTGGTTTGGTGAGTATGGGGAAAGGCAAGCACATTGGCCAGAGGGCTGGGGGAAGGGGAGAAAAGACAGGGTATCGCTCACGCACGCTGAAGAAAGGCAGTGCTTCCCATGCAGGCAAGTGGTGAAGAAAATGGTGCTGGGATACTGTGCTGGGAGAGGATTTTGAGGGTTAGAGAATCTTGGAAGGATGAGGGGTTAGCGGTGGGGAGAGGTGGGAGCAGAGAAAACATGCTGGGAAGGGGGATGTTGGGAGAGAGATGAAGGCGGGTCAGTGTCTTAGATGAAGGATGTTGCAGGGGTGCAGGCTGAGGATCACAGGTTTAGGAGGGAACTGATGTTGAAGAGAAGGCACTTCTGAAGAAATGGGGTATTGGATAGAGTGCTGAGGAGGAAGAAGAGCATGTGTGGGTGGGTGAAAAATAGGATGTTGGGGATGAGAGGGTATGGAGATGGAAAGTTTAAGGGAAGAATTTGAGGAGGCTGAGAAAAGGTGTGGGTGAAGGAAGTCCTGGAGAGAAAAAGCTTTGTGGTAAAAAGATGCTGCAAAAGGGGTGTGAGGGAGAAAGGACATGGAGACTTGGCGAGATGGTGTGTTAGCCTGAGTGACAGATGGAGGGACATGGAGATGGCTTCCTTTTCTATTGTCCCTTTCCCCAGTCACTCCAAAGATCAACCTCCAAAATGCTTTCACTGAGCTCACATTTCTCCTGACCACAGTGCCTCCAACCTGGCTCACATTACTTCCTCCTGATCTTCCAGCTCTATCCCAGCAAGTGTGTGCTTCCCTTGTCACCCCACCATGTTCCCAGCTCCCCCACCCAGATCCCCCGAACCCCATACCTCCCAGAGGGGCCTGACCTGGGGCTGATCACATCGGGGGCACCCTGGAAGCTTTCCTGAAGCTTGCTCTCCAGCCCGACGCCCACCTTGACCAAGTAGGAGGCTGGGTCCACGGCGCAGGCCCAGTAGCTGCGGCCCTGGGTTACAGCCACATCGCCCAGGACCACATCCACGCTCAGGTGGCAGCCCGTCAGCAGCCGCTCGGCAGCCAGCAGCAGGGGAAGCCCTGGGACACTCCTCACCGCTCGCTGGTCCTTGCTGATGGCCAGCCGCTCACGGCTTGTGCCCCAGCGGCCATCCAGGAAGAAGTGCAGGACTGGAGTAGGGGAGGGTTGAGACAGAAGGAAGGACTTCAGGGACAGACACCGGCACTGGGGACCTCGAGGTGTCAGCACGAGACACCGGGAGATTTCAGGACACGGGACAAGTTGCCAAGGGATCGGCAGGGGGCTCTTGGGAACAGGGCCTGGAAAACTGGAATGGGGAGCATAAGGGAAGAAGAACGGGCATCCCAAGTGGGCATTAAAACTCTCCAGGAAGAGTTTTAGTGATGACTAGTGGGCATGGAAACCAGTCTCCCAGACCCAGCCGACTCGCTCTGGCTGCCTCCTCTATTACGCCTATCCTCCAGAGCCTCCACTGGTTTCTGGAGAGTCACTTGACCAACATTTATTGAGCCCTTGTGCTGTGCTGTGCTTAGTCAGTTGTGTCCGACTCTTTGTGACCCCATCGACTATAGCCCGCCAGGCTCCTCTGACCATGGAGTTCTTCAGGTAAGAATACTGGAGTGGGTTGCCATGCCCTCCTCCAGGAAATCTGCCCGACCCAGGTTCTGAACCCAGGTCTCCTGCATTGCAGGCAGATTCTTTACCATCTGAGTCATCAGGAAGCCCTATTGAGCCCTTACCATCAGCCAAAACTCGGCTAAGACTTTACACATTAGCAAGTCACTTAATTCTCACAACGAGGCTATGGGATAGGTGTCATTACTATCCCTACAGAGGAGGAACTGCAGGTTCAGAGACGGTGAATAACTCCCCCAAAGCCACACAACTGGCAAGAGGCAGAGCTAGGGATTTGAACCCAGGCAGTCTGGCTCCAGAGCTAGTGAGGATGACCAACTGTGTTGCGCGTCTCTCTGGGGCCCACCCAGCAGCAGACGTCCGTGCCCGGGTCCCAGGCACCCAGGGCCCACTCACCGGGCGCGGGCGGCGTGTGCAGGTGCACGTCCTCACTGTACTCGCCGTAGCCGGCCTTGTTGCAGCCGCGGACACGCAGCACGTACACAGAGCCCGTGTCGGGGTTCTCCAGCAGGGCGCTGGTCCCCCTCACCTCCTCCCGCCGCTGCCAGCGGGTGGGGCCTGGCTGGGCTGGCACATCGGTGCGCCGGAACTCAATGGTGTAGTGCCAGGCAGGCGGCGAGTGGGGGGGCAGCCGCCAGCAGAGGAAGATCTGGTCGTAGGCAAAGGTGCGCTGGGTGTCGATGACCGGAGCCTCGGGCACTGTGGGAAGAGACAGCGGGGGTCAGTCACGGCCTGGCCACGGGCCTGGTGTGGAGGGTGGGCGGGAAAAGGGAAAGCAGCGGGAGCCGGGGGGGTGAGTGCGAGTGAGAGGGATCTGGGAAGACACCTGTCTGGGCCCTGGGCGTGGGAAAGGGAGAGGCAGGTGGCCTGATGCCAGTCCTGGGCTGCCACTCCCTCGATCTGGGCCTCAGTTTCCTCCTCTGTCAAATGAAGGTATGAGATCACATGTTGTCCTTTCTTTCTATGACCCTTTTTAGTCTATGAATATAGAGGAGCCCCAGGGAAAGACAGGTAACGGCCACTGGAGCCCACCCAGGCAAGAAGGCGCTGAACAGGGAGAGGAAACTGAGTGCAAGGGAGATAGATGCAAGGAGATGCAGCAAGGCAGAAAATGGGGACAGAGGGCAAGCCCGAGCATGATGGCCCAGGACAAGGTCAGGGGAAGAGAAGGAAAGCCTGGAGGGCAAAGGTCAGGAAGGCAAGGATTAACGCGTCAGAGAGACAAGGGCACTGGCCAGGGAAGAGGATGGTGGAGGTGGTCTGGTCAGGGCAGGAAAGAGAAGGAAGCCATGGGTGGGGAGCCGGGCTGCGTGGGAGGGGCAGGGCAGGGCAGGGGACCTGGCAGAGGGGGCAGGACCCCCAGGGCAGGGCCGCTGACTTGCCTGGGGTGCTCCGGAGCAGAGTCCGCGGTGGCCACAGCCTACAAACAAAGAGAGGGAGAAGCAGCGCTGAGCGCGGTGGGATGGGTGGCCGGGTGGGCTAGGTGGGCAGGACGGCTGGCCAGGCCGGCTGGGAGGCTTGGGAGTTCATTCCCCGGTGGGCACTGCCCCCCGGGCCCGCTGCTGGGGAGAAGGAAGGAAGGCTCTAACTAGACATGGGGCCTGGCCATCTCCTCACCTCGCAGGAAATTAAGCTCTGTCAGCAGCTTCATCTCACGCCCCACATCCAGCTGGCAATGGCGGAAGGAGGAGCTGGCAGCTGGCCGGAATGTCTGGAGGGCCTCTGTGGCTCGGGAAATCCTGGGATGGGGGCAGGCAAGGGTCAGACTTCCCTGTAGCTCAGACGGTAAAGAATCTGCCCGCAATGCAGAAGACCTGGGTTCCATCCCTGGGTCGGGAAGATCCTCTGGAGAAGGGAATGACAATCCACTCCAGTATTCTTGCCTGGAGAATCCCAAGGACAGAGGAGCCTGGCAGGCTACAGTCTGTGGTGTCACAAAGAGTCAGACATGACTGAGCGACCAATACTACCAAGGGTCAAGCACTGCTGTCTGGGCTGCCGCCCTTCCCCTTGATTCTGCCGTGTCTGGCCCTAGAGCCTTGGTATCAGCTATGGGTCTCTTCCCTGTCCCTTTGGGCAAGAGCTGGTATCCATTTGGCCTGGTGAAAAGTCCTCAGGGCTCAGCTCTCCACCAGGCAGGACTCGCGACACTGCCTGATACATGGGCTACACCCATGATGCCCCTACCCTGCGGGAGCCTGTGACCCTGTGCCATGACCCCTGAGTACCTGTTGTGCAGTTGTTTGGCTGCTTGCACAAAGCAAGGCTGGTCTGTTTCCTTAAGAACCTCCTGAGCGTAGCCCACGAGACCTGAGCCATCCAGCAGGCTCCGGTGCTCCTGGATCTGGGCGCTGAGACGGGCCAGCCGTTCCTGCTGACACTCCTCAATGGCTTGAAGCAGTGACGCCCGCTTCTCCTCCAGCACAGCCCCCAGCCCCCGCACCAGCTGGGACACCTCCTCCTTGGCCTGCTGACCACTCACCTGTCCAGAGAGCAACATTGACTGCCTCCTTCTTGAAGGCTGCATCTGTTCCAGCCTCCTGGGGCACCACACCACGGCTAGGATCACAAAGGATCTGGGGAAATCCTACCTACCCATTCGAATGGGACCAGGCTCATGGCTCCACGGTCTCCTGTACACCCACAGAGGCTCAACTCCTGACCATTTGTGCTAATCTTCCTGGAGGCCCACACCATGCCCCTGACTCCTTGAGGTCTCCCCCAAAGAAAAGAGGCCATGACTACACTAATGTCCAACTGGACCGCACTAACGTCCACCAGCATCTGTGCCATCCTCATCGCCCTTCCCCATGTCAGCTGATTCAAGCAGTCTGGCAAAAGGTATCAGAGCCATCGCCTCACCCTCCTTGGCCCAAGGATGTGTGCCATCCCCAGCAGGCAGCTGAGCCTGAGGGCATCTGAGCTCCATCCCTGGGGCTTTTCAAGCTCTCCCTCACCAGGGTGATAGACACCCTGTCTCCACTGTAGCCTTGGGTACCGCCTGGCCTGGGGCACTGCCGTTTCTGACAAGTTGGTTTAACCAGAGCCTTGACACATCCGCGGACCCCACATGGGCTCCCTGAGTTTGCAGCCAGGTGACTGGGGTGTGCCCGTCTGCACACTCCTCCTGCTCCTACTGCCGGGCAGGGCCCCGGCCCCCCTCCACACCCTCCCTCACCTCCGTGTGCCTCACGGTCTCCTCCAGCTCACAGATCTGGGTCTGCACTGTGTCCTGGTTTCCCAGGATGTATGTCAGGCTCTTTGTCAGCTTGTCCTGAGGGGGAAGGAAAGAGGTGGGCATCACACCTAGCCCTGAAGAAGCCAGCAGCTCAGAGGAGGTATGAGAGGGTGTGAGTGGGTAAGTCCTGGTGCGGAATGAGGCAGGGTCCTCACCTTGAGGGCCTGGTAGGCACTGAGCACGGGTGTGATTTTGTGGCCGCTGTGGGTGCGCCGCACGCGGCAGAGCTGGCACACCAGTCGTTGGCACGTCTTGCAGTAATGGGTCACCTCTTCTTTGTGATCTGGACACATTAGTCCCTAGGGGCAGAAACAGCAAGGAAATAGTCAGCCAATGGCGCGTGTAAGGGTGCTGACCTTCCACAGGGCAGTTCCCAGCCCTTCTTCCCCTGGGCTGGCCCCAAGCAGGTGGAGGGGAGTTCAGATGTGGTGCTCCATGGTGCCACCTGGTGGTAAACCCTGGCAATCAAGGAGCGCCTTTCCTGCAACCCCCAGGTATTAGCCTTGCTCCTCCCTTCCTTTACAGGTGTTAATAACAACAATGGTGATAATCTCAGCCTGTGGTTAATAATTAGCCGTGTCTATCTGGTTTACTGCTGCAGCTCCAACACCTGGAATAGCACCAGGCACACAGGTACTTGATAAATATTTGTTCAATGAATGAATAGCTAACAGACCTTTTCAGTGGATATAAATAACTTTCACAAACATTATGTCAGGGATCCTACCATCAACCCTGCAGGTATGGAGATTGCAGGGCAGATATATTACAAGCCTCATTCAGCAGAAGAGACGGAGGCTCAAAGATGTTCAAAGATTGGTCCAGTGCCTTTATTGTTATAGAAAAAGGAGCTTGGCAATGGCAACCCTGTGGCCACCTCCTTTTGGAAGCCCAATGCCGGGCGCGCCCTCCCACCCAGCACCACCATGCCCTCCCCCGCTTCCCAGGCCCTGCAAAGGCTGGCTCACCTTGGGGCGAAAGGAGAGGGTGGGCAGGGTGGGTTCATGCTGGGCCTTCTGGGTGCCCCAGGGATGGAAGAGCTTGAAGCACTCATTGCAGAAGGTGGCGCGGCACTCGGTGCAGCCCTTGGTGGCCTCTAGTGGCGGGGGCTTGCATAGCTGGCACAGGATGGCGCCGCCCACACTCACACTCTGGCGGTACCGCTCCACCACACGCTCCAGGGTCAGGTTCCGGAAAAGCCCTGCCAAGCCCCGCTCCCCCAGCTCCACATCACCCTGGCAGGCTGGGCACGGGAACATGATCACCTGGGGATGCAGAGCACCTCGCTTCCGCCCGGGGTATGTCCCAAAGCCTGTGGATGGGCCGGGAAGTAGGGAGGTGAAAATTACAGCTGGCTCCGGGTGGGGGAAGTCTGTTCAGTTAAAGAATTAATTTTTATTGTGCCAGGGCTCAGCTCTTGGCAGAGCCTGGATGGGCAGTACCCCTTGAAAAACAGACAGGTGTCCCTGGCCAGGGATGGACCCCTTCCATTTTCCTGATGGACATCCCAGCATCCCCATCCCAAACCCATGGGTGCCAGCCCCACCTGACTTAAGCAGCCGGTCCAAGCGGTCTGGTTTGGGGAGAGTTCTGCGGGAGAGGCGAGGGCTTCGGGTGGATGGGGTGGAGGCAGGAGAAGTGGGCTCAGAGCTGGGGTCCCCACCATGGCCTATGTAGCCCTGCTGGCCCAGCACCTCCCGGGCACAGGCCTGGCACACGTTGTGGGTACAAGGCAGCACCAGCGGCTGCTTATACATTTCTTGACACACGGGGCACAGCAGCTCCTTCTCCATGTTCTTCATGCTCGTCTGTGGAGGGACCAGGAGGTTGGATCAGAGCTTGGACACCTGGGTCTATCTCAACCGGCACTTCAACTGCATTTAAAGACCTAAGGGTTCTTGGAAATGAGGAAGAAAAACTACAAGGGACCCGACAAGCTACGGATTTGCCCCTAGCATCAGCCTTGGCCTGGTTCACAGGCCTTCCAACTCCCTGTCTCCAGCATGCTTCCCTCCTGCAGAGCTACATACCTAAGGAGGAGAGATGGCTGGAGCTCAGGTCTCCCCCAGTCTCCAGCCCCACCCCCTTGCCTGTCCCAGTCTCAGCCGGACCTACAGCCGCTCTCACCTGGCCTTTGCCCCCATCCCCCCATCTCCCGGCAGCCTGCCCCCGGCTCATATCTCAAGGACACCGCCCATTCTGCAGCTCGGTGCAGAGCGCCCCCCCAACACCCACCCCCACCCCGCTTCTCTGGCACCCCCCTTCCCCTCCTCCCCCGCGTGACTTCTTATAACCAGGCTCTCTCCATCCTCCTGCTCACCCTGTCTGTCCTCCTGCGGTGGCTCCGGCCTGCAGCCGCCTTCGCCTTCATTGCCCATCACTAACCCATCTGGCTCCTCCTAACCCATACCATTTTGCCCCCCACCACCCGGCTGTCCTGCTCCCATCCCAGGCATAACCCGGCCTGTCGCAACCCCTCCCAAGGTAGGGTAGAAACGAGCGCGCCGCCTATTTGCCCCCTCCCCACCGGAAGTACCCCTCCCGTTTTCGGTGGCGGGGGTCCTCAGGCTATGCCCCACCCCCACACCTCACCTTGGTCCCTCTCTTCGCAGCCATCCCGGTCAGGGGCGCAGCTGACACAAAGGAGGGAGGGACAGGGAGGGAGGGGGAAGGAAGTGGTGGGGGGGAGCAGGGTTGGCACCGCCCCTGGGAGAGCCGGGCACGGGTTGCCATGACAACCGCAGGCTCGGAGGCAGCCCTGAGTGGGGGTGCGGTGGGGTGGGGTCTCGCGAAGGGGTCCAATTTGGGAACTGCACCGTGGGGCGGCTCCTTCCTCGCCCCCGACCTGTTCTCAGTTTTCTTGGAAAATACCCAATCTCACTCACGCCCCCTCCTCATAGCATAGCCCCGTTGCCCTGCAACCCCAACCTCGGTGCACGGCTGGAGGCTACCCCAAGCCACCCGCTGTATGCAGGCAGCTCCATGTTCCTTACACCCCAGCAGATGGACGCCTTCACGGCATTCACCTCCGGGCTGCCCCCGGGATTACCCTCTTATACCTGCATCCCGATCCTCCCAGTCCTTTCTGCCATCGACAACCCCCGTCTACATCCCAGCATCTTGCGGGACCCCCACCTGTTCGAGGTCCCGGCCTGCCCCGGACCCCTATACTCCCCCTCCCCTTCCCCTCGACCCCACCTTAACTCACACTGATGCGGACCAGTGCATCCATGATAGAAGTGAAGGTCTGCATATCCTCACCCTCAGCCATGGCCCTAGCATGCCCGCCCGCCCCCGGGTGCCCGATCCTGGCTGCGGCTGCGAACCCCGGGCTTAATGCAGGAGCCCGGTGGGGATGTGGGGAGGGGTGAGGGTGAGATGTCACTGCGCATGCTCCAGGGACCAGCATCTAACAGCGCCCGTCGAGGTAGGAGGTGGGAAATAGTTTTCCCCACGTGGTTCTCAGAAGGCGGTCGGGTAGGGGGGCAGTAGTTAGGTAACGTGGAACGGTATTTGAGGGGGAGCCATTTCTTATGTTCGAATTCTTCACTGGCTTCTAATCTTACTCACAGAAAGCAGAAGGATAGTTTTAGAGAAAGATAGACTCCAGGATAGAAGGACTAGATTTTGGTTTGGGCAAGAGTCCACGGGAGATATCTAGGCAGTGTTCATGGGGGGGTTAGTTTTGAAGAACAGGCTGACATAATTGACAAAGAAGAAAGAAGCAGTCCATGGGCCCCGTGATTTGAAGAGTTAAGTGCAGCTTGCACTGAGAGGCAGCAGATGCTCTGGGTGCGGGGAAGAGCCGGGGACCAGGGTGGTGGCCAAGGATGCTCCTGGACGCAATATTTCCTCCCTGCCGGAAGAGGGCGCTGCATACAGGCGCTGAGGGGGAGAAAGAGGAAGGCGTAAGGGAGAAACAAGGCCACGTTAGGCCCTGACGCATGCGCACAGCCAACCGTCCCCCCGGTTCGGCTCTCCTCCTGGACAGAAGCGCGCATTGGACCCAGGGCAGGGCATGATGGGTAACGGGACCAACGGGATCCCCTCTACCCCCCCAACCCGGGCGGACCAGTGGGGGATCGGAGTTGGGCGGACCAGCTTTCCTGGTCCTCTGCCCACAGAGCTGACGTGTCCTGGGTTCCAGGCGATGGGCATTTCCACGGGGCGGGAGGGTTCGGGGCGTCCAGAGGTGAGGGATTCCTGGGGGGTCGCCGCGAAGTGTGGGGATTTGGGGAGGGTGGCTGCAGTCCCCGGAGGGCTTGGAAGTGACCGGGCTCTCGAACTCCCGGACCTGCTGAATCTGCCTGCGGCTCCTGCAGGGAGGGCTGGGCCTGACTCTCCGTCTCTTCTCTCCCCTGCTCCAGTGGTGGGTACAGGCACGTCGCTGGCGCTTTCCTCCCTCCTGTCCCTGCTGCTCTTCGCTGGGATGCAGATGTATAGTCGCCAGCTGGCCTCCACCGAATGGCTCACCATCCAGGGCGGCCTGCTTGGTTCCGGCCTTTTCGTCTTCTCTCTCACTGTATCCTCTCTGCGGGGGAGTGGGCAGAGTTGTTTGAGGGTAGGAAGGGTGGAGGGTCAAGCAGGCTTGTACCCTTCCCGTGAACCCACACATCTCAGCCCCCATGGCATGACTGACGCCTTAACTCCCTCAACCCAGGCCTTCAATAATCTGGAGAATCTTGTCTTTGGCAAAGGATTCCAAGCAAAGATCTTCCCTGAGAGTAAGTGAAGATTGGAGGTTGAGTATTTGAACCCTTTCTTGTAACCCTCACCTCTGATCTCCTCCAACACTGTGCTGAACTTCCAGGTGCTTAGACAGGAAAGGTTGTTGAGGAGGAGGAACCATGTGTACTGTCTGAAAACAGATGACACTTTTGGATACAGTACTTTTTACTCCTGGAATTGGAGCTAGGAGAAAGGGGCTTCTGAAAGCAGGAAACTCGTTTACTTTCTGGCCAGCTTCCCGGGAAGGTTTGAGGGCACAGGCAGGTCTGGGCCTGTAATGAATATATCCAAGGAGGGGATTTGTTTCCACCAGAAAAAAGAAGGGCCAAATTGAGGGGTTCCAAGGTGACATGGACCCAATACTACTGAATTGTATTTGTTTGAGATGATTGTGAAGAGCCTGAAGTATTAGATACACCAGCTTTCTGTGTCAGCAGGAATCCTCACCAAAGTAGAGTAACTGTTAGATTGTTTTCCATTTGAAAGGTTCCTTGTTATTGCTCATGTAAGCAAGAATTGATGATTTAGTTACGTATGGAGAATTAAGTTCATAAAGCAAATTAGGCGTCAAGGCCAGATCACCTAAGGATGCCACATGCCCCAAATTGATAGCAGATGCCATCTCCTGTGAAGACTTCACCTGTCACTGTGGCCCTTATTTCTTCACCCTCCTTACCTCTTGCCCTCTTCACCTGGCCCCTGTGCAGGCTTCCAGAGCTCATTCCATACAGCAGCTTCAGAACATCTCTCTGTTAGCTTTTGTTTTTGTGTGTATTGTCTTCATTTGCTTCTGAAAGAAGCCTGTCGTGGGGCAATTGGCTTGGCCCTCTTCACCTGCCCTCCTCAGCTGGGCAGGTGGGATTGCCCTTGCTATCTGCCCTCCCACCTTCTCCAGTCCTACTCTAGCTGTCTGGAGACCCTTTTCTGCCCCCATGGGTGTGTGTGTCCAGACACTCTGCTCTCCACTTTATGTCCAGGTAGTGAGGCCCTCACTTCCAGCACTGGACAGCCAGTTTAGTGAATTGATCCCCTTTGGCTGGCTTCTGTTGAAATGGCCGTGGCCCTCTTCCTCAAATGCAAGCAAGCCTTACCCTTCAGACTCTGCTATCATCTTTCCTTTTTACTGGAGGCAAGCCAGGATAGGGAAGTTAGGTGATATTTGGGGCAGAGCTGGAAATGAGAATGCATCTCGTACTTCCATGTCCTGGGTATCGATAAGGCCATCTGATGTCCTCCTGCTGTCATGCCTTACCTCTCCAAGCAGGTCCCCCAAGATTCAGAGAGCCCCAGATTTCTCCTGGACCCTACATATGAATGCCTGGTGTTTCCATTCTAACCACCACCCTCTTTGTCACCTCTTGCCTCCCCAGTTCTCCTCTGCCTCCTGTTAGCTCTCTTTGCATCAGGCCTCATCCACAGAGTCTGTGTTACCACTTGGTAAGTGCTTGCCAGCTGGATAAGGGGTATAGCATCCTGCCCTTTGGCACTTGACCCTCCTGTGATGGTTCCAGACTTCCCCATACCTCCCTCCCCCTCTGTTACCCCTCCTGTCCCCTTCCCAATTTTCCTAAACCTGAGCCTAGATTCTTTCCTTCATGCTGGTGTCTGCTCTAGGAGGCACCCGGCTGGCAGGTTGCCCACTAATGCCATGACTATTTTTCTTCACCCTGTAGCTTCATCTTCTCCATGGTTGGTCTGTACTACATCAACAAGATCTCTTCCACTCTCTACCAGGCAACAGCTCCAGTCCTCACACCAGCCAAGGTTACGGGCAAGGGCAAAAAGAGAAATTGACCCTGAATGTCTAATAAAGTTGATTCTTTGTAGCTCTGAGCTGTGATATGCTGTGGTCCTCTCCTGCCCATGCGTGTACATGGGTGTGTTCAGAATGCTGGGGCAGATGGGTACCTGCTGCTTTCAGTCCTTGGGGATGGAGGAGCTTTCCTTCTTTCAAGGTTCATTTTTGCCAACTGTTTATTGAGTGCCGTCAGTGCCAGGCACTTTGCCAGGCACTGGAGTGGCATCTGCTTGTGTAAGAGTCTCGTAGAAGAAAAGCGTGAGAATGATCTGCAGTCTTGCCCTTTGGGAAAAGAGGTGAAGACTGCAATGCAGGAAGGCCTGCTCGTCGGAGCTGGAATAGATCTGAAACAGAGGAGTAAAGGAGGGAAAGGCCCCTCACCCCTGCGTCTCTCCATGGGGTTCCATTTACACCTCTGGGGGCTTTGTTATTCCAGCTCTCCATCCTGAGGAAAGGAGCCCTCTGGCCCTTCTGCTCTAAGGCTGCAGGTGGGGATTCCCTACTGATGTTGCCCTCCTAAACCTATGTGTTCTCCAGCATCGACGAATGCCTGTGTTTAGAAAGACTCCCAGGTTGATCACTGTCTCTATCCTCTTTGGTCTGGGTGCCTTCATTTTTTTCCTGTCTTGTAACCAAAGGACTAGGAAACATCTTAAGTTTTAATAACAGCAAAGTATATAAAACGATAGGGACAAGGCCACCATCCTTGGAGCCAGCCTTAATGGAAGTGAGGGAATATGACGTCTCAGGTCTTACTTTGTCTGTGCTGTGCCATGAGGAGTGCCTCTCTGACCAGAGTGTCTGTCCTTTGGAGCACCTAGGCACTCTCCCTCTTGGGTGGTGTGGGCTTTAGGGTGCTTACTGTGCCTCGGTCAGCTTGATATTCTCCACAGAGCCTGATGATGGGCAGTGAGGACTAGAGGGTTGGTTGAATGAAAGAACCGGCCCTCCTGGAACAGAAATTTCAATACATGGGATGTGCCTGAGTTAGGGAATGAGACCCAATGAAGGTGAAGAAGTGAGTCAAAGAAACTCTGGTCCAGGATTAGACATCCCCACCCTCTCCATTTGTTGCCAGAATCCAGACCCTTTCACCTCTGTCTCTGGGCTGAGGGGATACTATGCAGTTCGCCCAGGTTACCCGCAGAGGGCGCCACGAGCTCATGTCTTCCTCCAGGAGACTGGCAACACTCACCTGCAAGTTGGCATTGAGGGCTTAGAGCTTAGAGAGTTCCTGCTGGGTCTTAGGGTTCTTGCTGAGTCTCTCCAATGGAAGCCAACTTTTGGAGGACATGAAAGACTGGCTAAAACCTGAATCAAGTCTCCTTGCTCCTGGCTATGAGTGGAGGCAAAGACAGTTCAGTGGAGACCAGAGCCTTCCTGAGAAGGAATGGTAGCCCTAGGCTTTGACTTACCTAGTGATGGGTGGGTGGGTGGGGGGGGTTACCATATGTGAGACCCTTGGGGAGAAGAAATGGTGCCCCAAAAGGGTCCTGGACCTGCAGGAAGCTGAGTTAGTTCTAGGTCTCAGTCTGTCAAACCTTGGCTTTCTCCTGTCCTGGAGTGGGCAGAAGGCCAGGTGCTATCCCAGGTGAGCACTGACAGGGTGGGGAGTCCGACCACCTGGGGGCATCATACCTTCCAAGATGAGAGCTGCGGCCAGGTTACTGGAGGTTGGGGAGAAGCCCAAGCAGGTGCCAAGACAATGCCAAGGGATCTGGGCACCTGCTGCCACCCGCTGCGAAAGCCTCAGGGGCAGTATGTGGCCAGGGATAATGGTCCCTCCCTCGGGGAACGGGTGCGTTTATCAGGCAGGCTGGCGCCGACATCAGCTCTCCACCTAGCCTGTCCCTGGGGTGCCTTGCCGGCTGCCTGCGCCTGACCTACCAATTAACCCTAGCAGGGGTATCCCAGCCATCTAACGCTGTCATTAAATAAGGGGGCATGAGGCCGCCAGAGCTTCTGGAAATCTGAAGGTGAGAAGGGCAAAGGTGCTAACCTCTTGGCCCCAGGACACCCGGGGCTCTGCTCCACCCTGGAGGCTGGAGGCCTCAGGCAGAGGGGGCGGTCCGCCCCTGGAGGGCCGGGGGAAGCCAGATGTTTCCTCCTGCTCCCTCACACGTGGCCCTAACACCCGCTGCCTGCTCCGGAAACAGGAGTAAATAACACGGGGTGGGCTTCTGTCCCAGAGATGGACTCCTTGGGGCAGGAGGTGATGCCACCTAAGAAGAGGGCGGTGGGAAGCTGAGATGAGGGGGCTTCCCCGCCTGGGCAGAGGCTGGACCCCCCCAGGACTGGCATGGGCAGGAGGGGACGCCTGGCATTTAGGGCATGTCGAGGGTCAGCAGGGAAGGGTGCGCCCAGGGCAGGCAGGGAGGGGGAGTCTGCGCCAGGCCTTGGCTCCAGCTCTTTCCGGACCTCATTGTCCTTGGTGAGAACAGGACGGGGCCCTGTTCCCACTGCCCAGCCCCCCCAGCTCTGCTCCCCAGGGAAGGATGTTGGGAAACGAGAGAACCAGAGACTGGGAGAGACAGAGCTGCGGCGAGACACAGAGACAGACACAAAGGGGAAAGTCAGTCAAAAGTATTGAGACTGACAGCAGCTTGAGGGAGCCCTGGGCCCTGTGGGAACCCGGAGAGAATGGGAAGCAGGAGGCCCTGTGCACACCACTCCTTGACTTCGGGTCACTCACAGGGCCGCCTCCTAAGCAGACAATAGCCGGAACCCTTGTGCGGGCACAGTTAGTGGCACTTAATGGCTTCACCTCAGGTACATTTCTTTGCCTCCCTGCCAGCAGACTGGAAGTTTCTCAGGGGGCAAGGCCAAGATCCTGCTCCCAAATTCCACCTCCCCACTCCCTGGGGGCTAAGAGCAAACCGGCCACCATAGGTTGCACTGTAGGTGCTATTTGGTTGAGCTCCTGCCCTGGCAGAGAGAGAAGCTGCCTAACTGGCTCTAGAATTGGGCACCACTTCACCTTGGGTGGAGGGCAAAGTGCAAAATGCCTGCCCTGGGGCAGGAAGCAGACTTTAGAGCTGCGCGCACCAGCGCCCTCTCCCCCTTCCCCTGAGCCTCGAGGAGCCGGCCATTCCCGCCCCAGCCTCTGCATCCCTGGGCACATGGGGTGGGCCTCCTTCCTTCCAGCTCTCCTACCTGGGCCCACATTTCTCAGCAACCACTCCCCCAGCAGACAGGTCCTCTGCAAGACAGAGAAGTCCAAGTCCCTTCTGTCTGCTGAGGTTCCAGATACACTTCAAATTGAAGAAAAACAGAGGCAGGTTTGAAATATGTACACTTAACAAATGAACACTTAAGACAAAATTATGATACAATATACTCATGCTAGTCACAAGGTCATTACAGGGTTTTTAGAAATGTTTCCTTCACAGGGAACTGCAGGCCTGACTTTATAATGTAACATTCTATGATAATGGGCATATCAGAGTTATTGGGATTCTTTCTACTTTTGTATGTACTTGAAAATTCCATAATAAAAGTTAAATCTTGTGTATTGTATCCTTCTTTCTGTTCTGTGGGAGAGTGAGAGTGTGGGAGACTGTCTGAAACCACACCTAGAAATAACATCCGAAGCCTAAATTTGAGGCCCTGTGTGACAGTGAGACCTGAGCCAAATGGTCTGTGAGATCCCTTATGGTCTGTGAGGAGCCCTTCTCTGAGAATTCCCCTCACCTCAAATAAGCTGGAACGTTCCCCACTTTTAGGCTGAAGCCACACCATCAGGGGGGACTGAAAAGTGAGATTCTCCTCCACAAGTCAAGGCCCCACAGAAAAATCTTGCCCACACCCCTGTTCTGGGTCAAGGGTTGCCACAAGGGCTGACAGCCTACTTCAGAGCAATTTCTGGATTGAGGTGCCTGTACACTTGTGTGAGGGTCTAGGCTCACCCTCCAGGGGGACCCCTCCCCTTCCTGCTCTCAGCCCCCAGCCCCCATCTCCAGCCCTTGTGTGTGAATGCTCAGTCGTGTCTGACCCTTTGTGACCCCACAGACTGTAGCCTACCAGACTCTTCTCCTGGCAAGAATACTGGAGTGGGTTGCCATTTCCTTCACCAGGGGATCTTCCCGACCCAGGGGTTAAACCTGAGTCTCCTGCATCTTCTGCATTGCAGGCAGATTCTATACCATGGAGACTCGGGCAAAACCCCTGTGATGGAGGCCTTTTTTCTGATGCAGACAGCTACAGGTTCTGGACATCTGTGGTACAGTAGGAAAGAATCCAGGTCTTGAAATCAGACAGACCTGAGTTCTAGTTCTGCTCTGACGCCAGGTGAAGGTCCTTGTGCAAGCTGAGGGTTTTTTATACACATTAAGTTCCTCACCTGGAAAATCTGCTTCAGATTGTGGTAAAGAGGATTGGAATTAAGTAACAACGTGGAAGAGCCTAGCATAGCACTCGACCCACTAGGCATTTGACAAACATCATTTTTGTCCCTTACATGATAGCAACCACGACCTTTTCAGCCAACTTGGTGCTTTGCAGATATTCTCAATTGCATCACTAACATCAGCCTTATGAGATTGATATTCTTACTGTGTAGTTAACTTTATCTGTCAACCCGGTTGGGCCACATTGCCTGGATATTGGGTCAAACATTGCTCTGGATGTTCCTTTTTTGGGGGCCATGCCACGTGGCATGTGAGATCTTAGTTCCCTGACCAGGGATTGAACCTGTGCCCCCTGCCATGGAAAGGCGGAGTTCTAACCACTGCACTGCCAGGGAATTCTCACTCTGGATGTTTCTTGAGGGTGTTTTTGAATAAGATTTACACTTAAAATAAGAGTAAAGCAGATTGCCCTCCATAATGTGGTTGGCCCTCATCCAATGCACTGAAGGACCACATCAAACAGAAGACTGACCTCCCCAGAGAAGGAGGGGATTCAGCAGCAGATAACCCCGGGGGACCTGAGCTGCTCTGTTCTGCTGGATGCTCTTGCTGGTCTGTGCTCACGTGGCCTGGGACCTGGCCCTTTCCCC